CCCATAGAAATGAATGGGAAAAACTGTAATTTAGAGCATAAGCCAAAATAAAACACCAGGTGACGGCAAAGTCACTTCATCTTTAGGTTTAAGCTCTAAGAACTTATGGGAATGATATTTTAATGTAGTGAAATAAAAAAAAAAAACATAATTTACATAGAAAATATGGTACTTTTTGAAGTAAATAAATTCAAAAATACCCCCAAAATAAAAAAAGCCCACAATAAATGGATAGACAAAACTTTATCGAAGACAGTGATATAACATTTATAATAAATAAAAATTAGGATCACACCCGAGTCCTCTGTGGCTACATTTGTCCAAAGGATTAAGGGCTATAAAGTGAATACGGATTGATAAATGCACTTTTTTCCCGCTAAATATAAGCTTAAAAAAACCTTTGCATCAGGTGAAGAGCAAAAACATGATTGGCAGGATCGCAATATGATTATATTGGCACCGCTTTACGCAATGCAAGCATTTTAAAATTTAGAGCATTTTAAAATAAGCCAAAATAAGACGCCAGGTGACGGCAAAGTCACTTGATCTTTAGGTTTTAGCCCTAAGAACTTATCGCAATGATATTTTAATGTAGTTAAATTAATAAAAACAAATAATTTACATAGAAAATATGGTACTTTTTGAAGTAAATAAATTCAAAAATACCCCCAAAATAAAAAATAAAAATTAGGATCACACCTGAGTCCTCTGTGGCCACATTTGTCCACATAAAGTAAATACGGTTTGATAAATGCACTTTTCCCCGCTAAATATAAGCTTAAAAAAAACCTTTGCATCAGGTGAAGAGCAAAAACATGATTGGCAGGATCGCAATATGATTATATTGGCACCGCTTTACGCAATGCAAGCACTTGAAGAATATAGCTAATCATTTAGATGGTTGATTTCAATGAGCGGTTGAGTCGACTCATGACTCAATAAACATTCACAAAAGCCTCCATGTGCTATATTTTCATATAGCTGTATCACGTTGTATTTCTAATACATCACTCACTTCAGTTTGACTCCTAAAAAAATTTCTCAAAAGCATTTTATAAATGCCATGCAAATGGGTTTGAACGAAATGAACTGCACGATACACAATATTGGAGACTTCAAAATGAAGACTCTTTCATTGTGAAGGGCTCGCTTGCCTCTTAACGAAGACACAATCTTTGCAGACGTGCAACTGATACTTTTCAGTCTGGGGAGAGAATACGTCTGACTAGTGACTGGTAAAGCCATTCGACTTCAAAATTGGTTTCAAGAAGGGAAAAAAACATCTTTAGGATTTTATTCCAATTATCCTAAAAAAAAAAGAAGAGGAAAAGTTCATTCGGAACAGGATAATCGTACATGTTTCGACATGCGGAAAACATTATTTCAATACAATCGTGTTAAAAACTAAACTAGTGATTTACTGCTGCAGGTCAAAATTCCCTTTTACAAGAATAAAATTAAAGAGTGCTCTCCCACTCAAAGGAATATAAATCTCTTCACTCACAGCAGCCATTAACAAAACCGTTTGCATTAATGAAAACATGAAACACAAAGGCTCCTTTCCCCTATAGACTGGGAACGTTTTCCATCTTAAATTTAAAGAGAAAGCTAGTTTCAGGTGTTAAGTGTTACGTTCCTGTTCTTCATGACGATGGGTTTCAAATGGCTGTTCGGGGAATAAATGAATGAATAAATTCTCCTTAAAAAGGAAAAGAGTGTATAGTCTACCTTGAAACGTAGGCATCACCACTATTAATAATATACAACAGATTAAAACGAGACCTAAAAAGTACAGAAATTAACGTTTTTAGAGGATCTGCCTCCGTTGTGGGTTTGACCACGAGCAAACGCCGGAAATCAGATATCCTGTCTGGCCTTTAACTCGCATCGCTTATTAATGAGGCTGCGGTTCAAAGAGACTAAACACGAGAAGGCATTAATATGGATTTACCACGTCCTCAAAACTTCTTTTTCATCATCTCCATCTCAAGCCATCATTTGCAGAGAAATGCTACGAAAGCCACATCATTACGCCGCCAGACTAGTCTTGAGCTAACGTCAAAAATATGAAATCTAGAGAAAATGAAGGGGGAATGACAAGCCACCATTCATATCTTAATATTTTCCAGAGGGTAAATAGGAGTTGAAATTATAATGACATCAAGGAGTGCCCGTAAAATCCATCAAATGGTTGCGTTGTACCGAAACGCATTTTTTTTTAACCTTTACAACAAAAAGAAAACATTAGGATGAGAAAAGACCTGTGAACTTGTCTAACCCATGTGCTTTATTTTCTGTTCTGGGAGAACGAGGACGGTGTTCTTGTGTAAATGTCCTTCCTATTGTTCCTATTCCTCGATTGTGAAACCTGTAAGTATAGGAAAGTCAATATTTGAAAATTTAAACAATGTTTTGGGAACAATATTTTTAATGACTACCAGCTATAAAGAAACAAAATCGTGACAGAACTTAGAACAGGTTCAGACAACTTTTTCAAGCTTGCAAGGTCATAAGCATTATCCTCAAAAAGATCCAGCATATCCTTCCCCAAAAAAGAAACAACATGACTAAAATCCATTTCTCAGAGGGCTTATCTTCATTTCATCATAAACTGATTGCTGGTAAGGACTGAGAGAGGAACAGGTGCTACAATCTGAGTTATAGCCCCGCTGGATGATGTTATGTGGCTATTTCCCTCCCGTGACTAAACAAGTCCAGCCAGACAAAACCGCAATGTGTTTCAGTATGAGACAACCAACTCATCTTCATGGACAACTGGGTCCATCAAGCTACTGGAGTCACTGACTCAGAGCGGATGAAGACCATGGGAGAGCACACTGAGCCCTGAGAAGGTCCTACTCTGACATATTGGTCCCTAAACCAACCACTGATATAAGTTGATGTCTAGAGAGTTCAAGGGGAGGAGGCAGAATGGGTCGAAGAATAACCCACACTTTATAGATCTCCAGCTGAAAGCCCTAGAGTCCCTCTAGAACGCAGTATAACTGTAAATGAAGTGGAAGAAAGCGGCGAGGGAAAAATAAAGATAGAAGGTGTCAAAGGAAAACTAGCAAGCATATAAGAAGAAAGCAAGAAAGAAAAAAGCAATGAAGGAAGAAAAGAAAAAGATATGTTTAAAATGAAATGCTTGAAATAATGCTGTCAAACGATTAAAATATTTAATAGCAATTAATCGCATTAATGTCAGTTAATTCACGATTAATCGCATTAATGTCATAGTTAACTCACGATTAATCGCATTAATGTCGTAGTCAACTTGTGATTAATCGCATTAATGTCATAGTTAGCTCACGATTAATCACAATAATGTCAGTTAACTTGCGATTAATCGCATTAATGTCATAGTTGACTCGCGATTAATCGCATTAATGTCATAGTTGACTCGCGATTAATCGTATTAATGCCATAGTTGACTCGCGATTAATCGCATTAATGTCATAGTTGACTCGCGATTAATCGCATTAATGCCATAGTTGACTCGCGATTAATCGCATTAATGCCATAGTTGACTCGCGATTAATCGCATTAATGCCATAGTTGACCCGCAATTGATCGCATTAATGTCATAGTTGACCCGCGATTGATCGCATTAACGTCATAGTTGACTCGCGATTAATCGCATTAACGTCATAGTTGACTCGCAATTAATCGCATTAACGTCATAGTTGACTCGCGATTAATCGCATTGTCATAGTTAACTCGAGATTAATAGCACATTGTTATCTATTCTAAATGTCTCTTGATTTCTTTTTGTCCCATTATTTTTTTCTCATTTTAATGCTCATCAACATGGAAAAGTGGATCGCCCTGCTTTGTGCATATTTTTTTAATTGAAAACAACATTGGTTTATAATGTGTTCAATTTCACACTAACATTCTCACTTGGAGCAAATAATCTCTCACACAATGTAACACTGTCCATCAATAAAAGGGTGAAAGATATACTGACGAGGTCTCGATAGTGAAGAGGGGGCGGAGAATTCGCATCAGCTGTGTGTGTGTGTGTGTGTGTGTGTTTGGCCATCAGCTGGTATTTCAGACTGGACGTGCTGCGATGATGATCACTCAGTTAATTACGACAAAACACACAGATCACTTTGGTCTTGTCAACTGAACCATTCGGCAACATTTTAAAGTAAACTTTCCATTCAGAATCGTATTGGCATCCATTTCGGCGTCTCGCGCTCGTCATCCACTCAAAACGTAACGTTAACCAACTATTTTGCCGGCTCGCAAGCCCAAACAAGTGTGTGTGCAGCGTGCCTGTTGTTTTGTTTCCGGTCTCCGCTTGCGCTTTGGTCAACGAAGCAACAAAACGTCCTTGCGTGGCGCAAGCCATTGAAATGAATAGGTTTCATAGCGCAGGGTTTCATTTAAAAAAATTGACGCTGTTAAAATGGGTTTGCGTTAACGCCGTTAATAAAGCGTTTAACTGACAGCCCTAGTTTGAAATGTTTAAAATCAGTAAAGGAAACAAATAAAAACAAAGAAAGGAAAAGAAAAATTAAACTGGATCTCACAGAAAGAAGCGAAAAGGCAAACAAGAATGATTTAAAAATCAATTAAGGAAGGAATAAGCAAGCAAGTAGGATTGATTAAAGAAAGAAATCAAGCAAACAAGAGCAATCTTCAAGCAAGCAGAAGAAAAATAAGACAAAGTTAGAAAGGAAGTAAGCAAACGAGAATGAAAGCAAGGAAGAACGATTTCAAACCACTAAAGCAAGCTAGAAAAAAAGAAAGGCTATTATTAACTGGGAGTTATAGAAAAAACTGATGTTGATAGCTGTATAGAACCACTTTGCTCCCTGCCTGAGCCGCCAGCTGGGATATTTGCATAAGCAGTAAAAGAGAAGGATGGACAGAGTGAGTGTGAGAGAGAGAGAGAGAGAGAGAGAGTGTGAGGGAGGAATCATACCAGACACTCCCACAACCTATAAAGCACAACCATACTGAAACACTCAGTGAAACCACACGTGGGTCTCTGTTGAGGGGGAGAGCCAGCGCTGCACAGGGACAGAGAGCCGGAGAAGGAGTGTGCATGTGTGTTTGAGGAAGCAAAACGGTGATTTCAGCTCAAGTAGAGAAGCGCTTATGGGATGCGAGTGAGTACAAACAACAAGTTCAACCCTTCAGAATCAATTCTCAAAGTCTGACTGTAAAGAAAAACGAAATTCAAAGGGTCTGTAGTGGCAGAGCAATGTAATACCACTCCCAGAGGACTATCCGGAGAGCTAACAAGTGCAGGATCGGCTCCAAAGCTAAAACCCCCATGCATTACGAACTCTAGAGTCTTACAAGAAACAGTCGAGACTAGCGTGGAGAGGTTTAGAAATTTCAGCACCTGCTGACAATGTCTTTCACGATGGTGCGACAGGCTCCCAGCCGATACCTGTACTCGGAGATCTCAATGATGTCGGAGGACGATGAAAACGGAAGCGAGAGCTCGGGCTCCGACGACCGCTCGTTTCGCTTGGACGCCTCGGGGTACGACGTTAAAGTCGGAAGAAAGAGAAAACCTGGAGTAAGTGGAGGCGGACGGATGATTGGGCAACCACCCATTTCCGCCAGCTTTATCGGTCCGTTGCCCGAGGGCCGTCAACGCAACGCAGCCAACGCACGGGAGCGGGACCGCACCAATAGCGTCAACACGGCCTTCACCGCATTGAGGACTCTCATCCCCACGGAGCCCGCCGACCGGAAGCTGTCAAAGATCGAGACCTTACGGTTGGCATCCAGTTACATATCTCACCTGGGAAACGTTCTCCTGGTGGGCGAAGCGTGCGGAGACGGCCAGCCGTGCCACAGCGGAGGGCCCTCGACCTCAAACTACTACCACCACCACCACGGCTCGCCCAGCCGGGACTCGGAGAACTCGCAGCCCAAACAGATCTGCACGTTTTGCCTCAGCAACCAGAGGAAAGTGGTGAGTAAGACGCATGCAGGTGCTCTCCGTTAAAGTTGTGCAATGATCTGGTCATGTTCAAGTCCACAAACAAGCTGAAGAAATACCGACAGATGTGTGAAATACACGAACCTCAGGGAGGGACAAGAACGAGTCCGATTTATTCTTTGCTAGTAAGGTCACTGAGATCAATGACTTGAGGCAAGGTTAGTCAGGATAAAGTAAACACCATCAAAATACATCCCAATGTTAGATAATAAAGGCTGTTTAACTAACAAGAGTGAAAGTAAATAAACCGTTGAAAGCCCAGTAAAGATGTTTTTTAGAATACCTTTCAAACAAGTAGAGGCAATGGTTTGTGTCTATTCTGCAAAGAATTTCTGTAAACTAGAAATATAACTGTAAACTGTATACTCCTTACTTCTAAAACTGGCACCGCAAAAACTAAGACTACAGAAAGCTGATAAGGTATAATTTGGTCCATGTTTTCCGAAGCATGAGCAACTAGTGGTTTTAAACAGTCCGTCATAAATGTTCCAAGTACATCTTTTAGCGAATCTGCGTGGTAACTCCAGCCTCCCCAAGATAACGTTTGACACTGAAAACCATCCTCGGCACTCTGAAGCTGAGTTATGACTTCATCCACATGTCCTTTTCCATCAAGAGCGATATCTCTGTTACAGAGTGCGCTGCTACCATGACCTCATAGACAGATGCAGTGAAAGATCGGATTAAATGTACCCCAATGGAAAATATCCAATCAACAAAGAGACTGTCAGGTAATATACAAACACATCATCCATCTCTTCCCCCGGTGAGCGTGACTGCACTGACCTTGGCTCGTTGAGCCAACACCGCAGCACATTAAAAATAAAACCGTAAATCACACTCTGGCTGTGAGGAATACAATGACACCAAACCAAAAACAGGGGGAAAACTGTAATTTAAACTTGCATGGCGAAGAACTGTCAGAGGTTGAAATATAACACACGCTCAAGACAATTACACTCCGCCATGACACGAGAGCATTTTTGGTCAGGGTATCTCACCACCGCGACGTGTGTTTAATCCGCAAAAACCTGAAGTGCTTCCAGCTAAATTTTCTTTTTCTGGATCTTTTAAAGTAAAGTCTGTAGCGAAGGAAGTAAACAATAAAAGAATAGCAACAATAGCAGCGATCTATTCCACAGTGGGTGAATTAAACGGACCTAGTTTGGGCCATTTATGACAAATGAGCAAATGGGAGGCATAAATAAGCAAACGCCAATGGTCCGTGATCTATATATCAGGCCATGAGGATCTAGGGAACATCTGCAGCGGGGTATTTTCCCCCCAAGTAGCCGTGCACCAACCTCAGAGTTTCACTCAAACATCCTGTGTTGTTCTTAGTCTCCTCCTCGTTGCCCAATTAATATCTCCGTCAAGCACGACACGCAACCAACATCGTAAATCTTTAGGAGAGGGATTATCACAGATTTCTGAAAGTAACACAGTGGTCTTTTGAGAGAGAGCCAATTCCAATTTCTCAAATGCAACATAAATTTGAGTTTACGGTCATTTAAAATGTGAGGATTTAGATGGTGTTTTTCTCCAAGTACAAGGAAGTGCCTGTGAATCCCTAAAAGCTGATTAGCAGTTCTCGTAGACCAATATATGGTTGGTATTTAATACTTTTCTGCAAGAACATATCTCAGTTGCACTAAAGCATCAACTTAAACAAGCTTGTGTGTCCAATTCATGTAGTCTAAATATTGGCTATATATTGGACAACCAACTCAATAAGCATCAAGTATCCAATTCTAATCCTTAAATGCTTGATATTGTACAAACCACACAGTATATAAAGAGACTAACACAGTTAACTGTTTTTGGTTAAACTGTTGTTGAAAATCGTATAGAAACCACACGGTTATGAACATCAACAGGCCAAAGGCCAACACTCCCATTTCAGGCAGTAACCTTAATCCGTACAAAACGAAATGATAGATCTTTATAAGTCCAACGGAGAAGTACGCCCATGTCTTCGGGATTCCAGTGGCAGGCAGATATTTGAAACAGACCGGGCCTTGCCTTTGTAGTGCACTTTCAGAAGTGGGTCTGTGTGCTCCAAAACCACACTCGTCTCTTTTACCCCTACTTAGTGCTCATTACGCCGTGAAAGTATAACTCAGCCAAAATGCACGGCTTTATTGTTTCTAAAGAAAGACGAAATAAAGAACACACACCAGGGGAAAGACGTAGGTATAACTGAATTCAAATGTTCGGGTTTTCGCCAAAGTTAAGCGTCTGTAAGCTGACACAGAGCAGACAGCTGCGTCGAGATTCTCCAGCGAACGGGCGAAACAGACTTCTAAATCAAACACAGACAGTCGCGCGGCAGAAAACTGCTACTTTTGTCTGCTAAGACGCTCAAGATTTGTGTCTATATAAAAATGATAGATTTTACCCAAAACATTTTCCAGGTTGATTCATCTGGCATTTTTATCTGCATTTATTTCTCAATATTTGCACATGCACACTAGTATTCTCTACATGCACAGGGATGTACCCCAAATCGACCATTTTTGTATTGTTTTGACATCATCTAACCAAACCACACTAGTGTGAATAGATTGCATAACAAGACTGTACTACTACTCAGAAAATTGGGGTAGATGCGACGTCTTCCTCGCAGTTGGTATGCTAACCAAATAAGAAGTAAAATGGGTAATATTTTCTGGATAATTATCAAGACTTCTCTCATTACGAGCATATGGAAGAGTTTAGCGTCCTTCGCTCTAACGGGAGCCCGAACATTTGACACGATATGAAATTATTAGAAGTATTAGCAGCACACGCTAAAGAGCCAAAATTTTTTCCTCCGTAAAATGCCGAAAGATTTGGCCAAAAGCGGGATCTTATAAAACCGCCAAATGCGAATACTTCAATACCTTCTGGAAAGTGAAGCCACATGAATTAAAGTTGGGCTGGAATTGGGTCATCCTTTACCACAGGTGGGGCGGTATGCTTCAGAACCATAAACGAAGGGAAACTAGTGTTTTCGTTTGTGGGCAGCAGCAAAAAGATCTGTGCAAATACTCCGGAACACTATAAAAACAATCAAAGGCGTGTAAATGGCGCATTCAAAGGGTCCAAAACTCATATATTGGGATTAACTCAAACACAAGACTGGTTTTAATAATCGACCAGGTCCTGTCACCACCGAGAGGCTAGAGTTACACGTCTAAACGCATGCATGCCCACACACCCGCTCATTGTGATCTTTACGCAAGCTGTCAACGTTACCCGTCAACCAAAGGTGAAGCCAAATATTTGTGTTAAGAGCCCCGTAGATGCTTGAAGGGGAGGTGAACACCAATTTATTGATATAAAGATATTTGAGAATTTGCCGTGATTTGTTTCCTGCCTCAAAGTACTTGGATATAATGTGTTTATAAAGGACTTCAGACCAAGGGGAGCGAACGATCAATCTGGGCATTTGGACGTAAGCTCCAGCAATAATAATTTCTTTACGGCGTGTTAGACAGGATATGAAAAGCAAATGTAGGCAAAATCCTATTAGTTTGGCCATAAGTGATCCCTGGAGTCAGAGCGCTGGTGACTTTAAAGTGGCACTGAACTTAAAGGGGAGTGAGAAAAAAAAAAAAAAAAAAAAAAGAGTAAGAAAGGAAAACGTTGAGGGTCAGGGTTATTTTCAAATGGGATTCTGTCTGACTTCATCAGTTAAGGTTGAGTGTTTTGACTAGAAACCCCGCCCACATCAGATGGGGGCCGCAGGAACGATGGCATTCCATCTGCTCCCGTTCGAAGCAAAGCAAACTGGGAAATGTGAGCCAGGTGTGTGTGCGCGTGCTACCGCAAACGGAAAGGTGATAGGAGAAAAACAGCAGGCGCATTAATGTCAAACCAACGGCCTGCAGGGAGAACGATGACATGAACTCTCAAGAGTCAACAACTCTGAAAAGTATTTGCAGATTTTTATATAGACGAAATTAACCAAAAAAGTAGTTGCACCTGACATTTTTTCGTAATTTGTTTGCTAATTGCTAACTCACTGACTAATTGTTTTCTTTCGTTGCAGAGCAAAGACAGAGAGAGGAAATCCGCCCTGAGGAGTTAAGCCACGACGTGAATGGATTTACAAAACATTAGCATCACCAGTGTACAAAAACTGTTGACTGCAAATGCAATGTTATGGTGTATATATGCAAATATCAATTCATATTTAATTATTTGTAAATCGCCTTTGGACTGGAGCATTTTTATTGGAGGAAAAAACAACAAAACATTATGACTGGAAAAAGACCAGACTGCAGCAACTTGATTACGCAAGAGCTGAACATCCCGCTACAGACTTCCATCTTTTCCATGCTTTTACACACCAAGCTACACAAAATGTTTATCTTTGACCACAGGGAGTTGAGGTAAAGCTATTCGCCAAAGACCATCCAAAGAAGAGGACGGCATTCACAAGGTTCACAACGATCACAGAGAAGAAGCGTAAGGAGCCCAACTTTGCAAAGCAAACCAATGGCAGAACATCGTACTATATTAAAAATCTAAGAGGATTCTCGGATTGTGCTCACTCGGATTTCGGACAAAAACACGAAAGACACTTAGCCTGGCTATGAAAACACAATAAAGTCAATAAATGCAGTGTATACTGTATGTCTAATATGGAAAATTACATATATTCTTCATTGTTTAAATTAAAAAAGTACTGAATGAACAAAACGGCGTGAAAACCATCTGCATTTCTTTCTAGCACGATTCAACAAGATCTTTACCATCAAGCAGTTCTGTAATTAATTAAGAGCAACACCTCAATGCAGCTATAAAAACAGAGTCCCTCCAGATAGAGATCAACACTTTCATTTTATCATCTCTGCAGATCATCTCTCATCACGCGTCCTCCAAGCCTAAATATTTAATTTCACATTCTCTTTCTGGTTTTAATCTGAACGTAGTTTATTCTTCCTAAGGTTAAGATATACAAACACATATAGAGTCACTCATATTGTCTTGTATTTCACAAACGGTATAGGCAACTATGACTGGCAAGAACAGTTGTTTATGATCTATAGCAACCTTTAAGACTTCAGGACTCTCTATTGTCCACAACAATTTTCAAAAGGCCCTATATTTCCAGGTTTTCATGATTTAAGGATGCATATTTGTACAAATATTTTTTATTCAATTGCTGTCAGATAAAATTAGAGCTAGAAAAGTGCTATATTCATGTTACTATAATTATTATTATCAGTTCTTAATTCTTAAGAAACATTTACATGACTTTTCCAGGTCTAGAAATTAAGGGTGCACCGATATGACAATTTTGGCCGATACCGATAACCGATAAGTCTTTATATTTGAAAGCCGATAACCGATAAATTGGCAGATAAATATAAATCCAAATTTTTAGACAATTTTTGAGAGCCTGATTATAAAAAAGTCTCCTCATTAAAAGCCAAGATACAAACACAATTATGATGCTCTTATTTTAATGTTGTGTAGCCGATATGACAGACTTGCGTTGCACATTTTACAATTTAACTGGATTTTCCTTTTTTTAAAGTGATTTCAATCGTATTTCAAGCAATTTAAAAGCATCATGTTAAACAGTGTGCATCTAAGTGCCTCAGCTGAAGGAAATAATACATTATTTATCAGCCGATAAATTTAGATATCGGCTAAATGTTCTTGTTGGGCCGATAACGATAACATTAAAAATGATCATATATTGGCCGATACCGATAATGTGGCCGATATATCTTGCACCCCTACTAGAAATCATAGGTTTTGGCCTATTTTAAATGCTTGTTTTGTCTTCCCAATACTACCTTATACATACTTACACATGTGTATGTTAATTAGTTGAGAACTCCTAGTCCATAGTAACTTTTGGTCTTTAAGACCTAAGAAGAAGCACAATATAAACCTTATAGGATCTTGAATATTTATAACATTCAATCATACAGATTGGCTTAAAGGCTAGGAATTAGATAAAGTACGATCAGTGTTATGATTATGATTATGTTTCTAGCATGTTAAATGTTTGGCAACAGTTCTTCTAACTAGGGCTGCAACAAACGATTATTTTGATAATCGATTAATCTAACGACTAATCGCCAATTATTTTGCCGGCTAATCAGTAAGTTTGGAACAATTATTCAGCTTTTTCAATTAGTTAAAACATTGAGTTATACATATTCCTACTATAATATACAAAAAGAAAATCAGTTCAGCTTTTGGAAATATTTTTACTTAACTTCAATCAGATAAAATTAGAGCTAGAAAAGTGCTATATTCATTTTACAATTATTATTATCGTCAGTTCTTAATTCTTGAACATTTACATGACTTTTCCAGGTCTAGAAATTACACTTTAAAATGACATATCTTGATTTTTGTGTGGTTTTGTGTACTATTTTAAATGCTTCTTATACACCCTTATACATACATATATATATATATATATATATGTGTGTGTGTATATATATATATATATATATATTTAACAATCAACATTTAATTAGTTAACTCCTAGTCTACAGTCACTGTTGGTCTTTAAGACCTAAGAAGAAGCACAATATAAACTTTATAGGATCTTGAATATTTATAACATTCAATCATACTGATTTGCTTAAAGGCTAGGAATTAGACAAAGTGGGATCAGTGTTTGTTTATTTAACTGCGTGGTCCTAAAGTAGGCGTTTTACCTGGATAAGTTATTTCTTTGGATTGCAGTCACATAATGATGCTAAAAACAAACAAAAGTCTAAATGAATACTGTTAAAAAATTAATTATAACAGTCGCTACGCCGCGGTTCCTAGTGGTGTCTGTTGGATCTTGTGTGACAGAAGGAAGTGTGCGGTGAATCAGACGACAGAAGCGAGGTGGACGGCACAGAAAGTGAGGCCTGTCAGACGGACAGCTGTTGCGTGTGGTGGCGCAGATGGGATTTGCAGGTAAAGCTTTTGGCAGCGGTCCTGGCAGCGTCCACCCGTGACAGCGCCAAAAAAACGGTGAGAGGAAGTTCGGACAAATTTTGTCTTGGTCTTGAGAGTTATGACTCGCGTATCACCTTCTACGCAAACTAAAAATCATGTCATCTCTCCTCTCGGGTAACTAAAACGACTCCCTGCTTTGTTAAACTAATCTAAAAAGAGCTCCATTTTAATCTTTTGACATTGCGTTAATATAATAATAATTGCATTCCCGTGATTGTTTTTGTAGTTAATGCCTAAAACATTCAGCTTCTTCTTTAGGGGGGAAAAAAATATGTAGAAGAGCAGCTCACGGGTGATATTTCATACTGAGCTTCAATGATATTTCAATTCGACCATTGCAAAAACAGCTAATTATTTAACTTTTGTTAAACGCCCCATCTGGATTTCATTTATAAATAAATCTGCCGTTAAGAAGTTTCTCCACGATTGGCGCAAGAACCGCAAAAACTTGCGATGAGACACACAAGCTCTGGAGTGTCATACTACATTATCGATTGTTTTCCGTTTAAAAGTAAATCAAACTTAGTTTGTTGTCAATGAAGCGGTATGTGATGCTTTCTGATGAGGCGGTGGAGGTACGCAAGACGAATAGAAAAGCATTGGGCGGCATCCCGCTGAGTCTTACCCCTCTGTTCACCCCGGTCTGTCATTCTGTCATCCCCTCATATCTCACCAGCCAGAACAGCTCCATATCCACACACATGAACCCGGTTACCTGTGTGTGTGACGCAGGCCTCGCGTCCAGCAACTACAGACATCAGCACTCACACAGACCAAGAACGACGACAAAGGAAGTATTCAGCATTGACAATGCAATAAAATACACTTGTCTGATTCTAAAAGAAGAAAAAACATTATAGTCGCTCAAAATGTCACAGACTACAAACAGAGGACCGACTAAAGAATAAAACAAACTACGGACATCTATATGGAAAATAATATATAAAACTTCAACAATAAAATGAGTCGCAGTGGTCAACCGACATACTGATACACATGAAATATTATCCTATAATACATACATCTTTTCTTTAATCCCATGAAAATGCAGATCCTGTTGTAAATAAGTGAAAATCGCTTTTTAAAGCCGTTGTTCCATTTTGACTCGTAGTATATCAAATCATATTAGAATATAAATATATTTTCTATTTAATAAACATGAAATTTGATGCATATAAATACAAATAAATATATAATGGCAGCAAATGTGAATTACATAGAACTGTGAACAAGAAATAAATCCTTATTTTACACCATTTACTCAATTCACAGAGAAAAGATGAAAACCAAAACTGTTTATTCATTGGCGAGACTGTCTGTATATTCTGGAACGGACACAATGGGAACTATGAACCCAGACACCATTATCCACCAGTACATATAATCATAAAATGATCAGTTATCAGCCGATTAATCTATTTTACCCATCATTCCCTGTTTAGAAGTGTCTGAATTATATTGTTGCACAGCCAGTTTCCAAAAACATTGTCTGAAGGGATGTTTCCTATAACCAAACAATGAAAGCATCATTTTGCACATTTTCTTTTCCTAATTTGTCTCACTCAATCATGTCGATATTTAGCTATTGCGAGTTTAATACCATGAAATGGACCATTTCTGTGAAGTATGATTAACTCTTCTGTTCGTTTTTTTTTTAGTTGAGTTTACTTAGGGTGTGTTCAAAAATTGAATTCTGGTTTACTTGGACACCTTTAACACCGAACTTAAAGAGAAGGAAAAAAAAAAAGAGCTTTTTGATGTAAATGATATAAAAATTGGATTTAGATTGATCGGCCGATATATCGGTTATCAGCTTTAAACTATAAAGAATTATTGGTTATCGGTATATTTTGAGATGGAACTTACCGAACATCCAAAACAATGTAGTGTGCTGGACTAAATGTACTCGTTGTATGTGCTTAGCCTACTTATGATGGTATTTTGACTAGTTGAGAACTCGTGAAGAGCTTTTAAATAAGTAAAGGAATCAAAACAGCGGCATGAATTCCTCAAATAAGATGATCAGCTGAAAGGAGACGCGTTTCCAATGCCTGTACTGAACTATAATTGTAATAGCTCTCATGACGAGAAGAATCAGGTGTGCTTGAGCATTAGGTCGCATTTTGTGACATCACATCCTGTTTTTGGTTTGTTTAGATGTCTTTAGTGTTGCATTCATATTTCATTCGAACCACACCCGAGATTGCTTGGAAGCTGCTTCACAAGTGTGAACGCTGCCGTCCGAACCCTGATGCGCACCAAAAGTGGAGCGAGAACGCTGTTCAAATGAGACACACTAACAGAGCAATCACACCAGAGTTTTAGTCATACCAAACCTGCAAAGTGTGAACACACCCTAATATTCATTATCAATTTGACTGCACTGACACTACTGAATGAGAACAAAACTTTTTTAGTTTTCAGTAATTCTGCTTTATTACCGAATCGATGAACTTTGCAACATTGACACTGTTACTGAACTGAATCGAATCAACACCGGACAAAATTTAACTGAATAATGACACTATTGTCATCTGTAGAGTTGCTTTACAGTTTTATAGAATTTAATTGGTTTAATAATG